TTTAGTAACTGAAGTAAATGTTGGATGATTGATAATAACATCACATAGTCCTTTAATGCATGGATTAGAGAAGCCAGAGCAAAACCAATTGTGAGCATGCATGGAGGCAATGAAAAGAATTTCAGATTTTAAGGCCAGTCATGAGAAGTGGATAAATGATTGGTCTCCCTCATGCATGGAGTACTTTCAGGCAAACAAGGATGCTGCAACTGGTTGCAATATCATTTTCAATGGTGAGATGGGCTTTGAAATAGGTGAGAGTGAAGATAAACACACTATTATGTTAGATAAGATGATGTGCACTTACAGAGCATGGGAATTGATTGGCATACCATGCTTACATGCTTTATGTGCTCTATTTTATAATAAGGTGGATTTCATGACATATATTTCTAGGTAGTATCATAAAGAAACATATGTGGCAGCATATCAGCATCCTTTGCAACCTGTTCCAGGAAAGGCCTTCATGAGAGTAGATGAATATGAAGCTATTTTACCTCCCCCAGTTCCAAACTTACCTAGTAGACCAAAGATGAACATAATTAGAGCCTCAAATGAGGGAAAAGGTGTGGGAAGTGGTTCAAAAGCTGCAACTAGTACATCTCATAGAGCATCAAGAAAAGGGCAAGTCCAATGTTGTGGGATATCTCATGTAGAGGGACATAAGAGAGCCAAATGTCCAAATAAAGATAATGTTGTAAGTTATCATCACTTTATTTTACTTTTAAGACTGATTTGGTAATTTCTAAACAGTTTGTTACTTCTAAAGAGTGGTTAAAGTATATATGTATGCATATTTAAGTGTTTGTTACTTCTAATGAGTGTTTAAGGAATATATGTATGCATATTTAAGTGTTTGTTACTTCTAAAGAGTGGTTAATTAAGGTATATATGTATGCATAATTAGTGGTAGTTACTAGTTACTTTAAAACATGTTGTTAAGGTATATATGTATGCATATTTAGTGTTTGTTACTTCCAAGGAATGATTAAGGTATAATGTATGCATAATAAGTGTTTGTTACTTCTAAAGAGTTATTATGTCATATCATATCATGTATAATATAATGTAATGTGGGTTCAGGCAAGTGCTGAAACAAGTGAGGGTACTGCACCTGCTACTGGGAAGAGGCCTGTTTCAGTTGCATTTTCTCCAAGTCCTAACATTACAGAAATGGCACAAGGTGCACCTTCAATGCCAAATAATGTAAGGAATAGTGGCAAGTCTAAACTGCCATGTAGAAGAATTGGCAAGAGAAAATGTAAACAACCCGTGAAAAGGGTTTGGCAGCTATATATGTGTGTGTGTTAATGTTAACACTGGTGAAAGCACTATAAATGTGAGTTCTATATACATAATGTAGTGTTAATTCATGCTTGTTTTGAGTATTTAAGAATGAGGTGTTGTGTTCTAACTTCATATCCATGTACTAATTATTTGTTGCAGCCTGGGATGGAGAGTGAACAAATTGTTTCTGAGATGCAACATGAAGTGGCACATGATCCTGATGTTAATGTCTGGTTTGCTATTCCAAATGAGAAGGAAATCAGAGTTGCTACCAGAGTTCAAAAGGAGATAGATGTCCCAGCATATAGGAGAATCTCTAACAAGGGTGATGGAGGTCAAGGAAACATTCCAACTAATCTGCCCTTTGAACCACCTAATTTGCAATGGAATGGGAAGAAAGCCATCAACTCCACACAATTGTTAAACAAGATGCAAAGGAGAGGGACTTCTTCAATTCACACTGACCTGGCTGAACCCACAGTTTAACACTTCACTTGGATGTTGTATTCAATCCATTTTAGGATGTTAGTAAAGCGTAAAGCTGCCAGTTTTTTTGGGTTACTAGGTGGCAGCCTTAACTCTTAATATCATGTTTTTGCACATGTGTCTATATGGCCAAGTTATATGGTTTTTTGGAGTATTACATTGGGGGGCTTACATTATTTTGAATTTTGTAAACTCAATGCCAAATGGTAATATGGCCTCTGATGATGTGAACTTATGATAATGATAGTATATATTATGATGATTCGTAGTTCATGTTATATGTGCCGTTGTATTATATATTATGATGACTACCAGTTCATTTGAAAACTCAATACTAAATGTATAATGATGCTGCTTACTATGATGGAGTCTTATGAGATGCAATAGCAGGTTTGTGTATAAGCTGGTATAACAGTTTATTAGGTTTAGTTGGTGGTGCTTACTATGATGGAGTCTTATAAGCTGGTTTTTACAAATTCAAAGACAGTTCAATAACCTGTCATTAATCAATGTGGTGGCATTGGTATTGGTATTAGCAGAGAGCATGAGGAATGGTGATATTGGTTGCTTCATTAGGTTTAGTTTCTGGTGCTTCATTGGTATATTTTAATATATATCTCCTTCTTGTACTTGTGGTTGATGAAAGGGTTGGTACATATAAAATAGCACCTCATACAAGAACAATTTCCTTCTTGTTCTTGTATTTCCTTATGTTAATCTTGGAGTTAACATACTAGAACTATTACTACTTCATTGAGTTTGGTTATTGAGCTTCATCATATTATTCAAAAGGTAATGACAACTCTTAAACACCTCTGTATTACAATAATTTCAATTATAACAACAACAATCAAATGCTATAACAAAACTAGCCTTTCAATCAAAAGTGAACCACTTCATTAGCACCAAAGTATTCCCACAATCTTATCAAAATAAAACCAAGTACAACAGCACTAAACAAGTACTTTCTCATTTCAATCACCCGTTTCTAAGGTTACAACACAAAACATTAAGTACTTCAACTAACTTAAAAGCATACATATGACTACAACAAGGGCACACAACAACACTAAAACCACATAATTCCTATTCATATATGCTCCCCTCTCCAATTTCAGATTATTGCCATCCTTGCTAATGTTGTTCTCTTCAACTTCAAACTTAAACTTTTCATTGGAGTTATCATCATATTATAGGACGGGTGTTTCATCAAATGTCCCTCCTGCACGTATGGCCTCCTCCAATCCCCCTCCTCCAATCCCAATATTATAGTGTGTAGTCTTCTATTCTCCTTTTCGAGATCATTGATTACATGTTTCGCCCTTTCTGTTACTGGCTCATCATGCCACTCAAAAAATCCACAATCATCCTTCTACAACACACACAAATATGAATATACATCAGCAGGGGTGAAACGTTAATTTTTCAAATTCAAATTACCTCATAATACAAACACCCATAGAACCGTCTCCCCGGATTCTTATCAATCCACAAAGTCCAAACTCGCGCTTTAACACGGGCTCCATTTGCATTCATGCAATTACAATACACAGTTTGCACAGAGTTTGGGCACTGAATATTGCTTCGAAAGTTTACTGAATCGCTGGAGTTTGCTTTGCCTTTCCCTTCTGAGCTTGATGGTGAGAGAGTTATGTCCACACTTGCGGTTTCCTCTTCCAATTCGTCTGCAGACACTTCAATGGGTAGTTTCATACTTTCATAATCAATTAGGGTTGTTGGGTTTGTATTTATGGAGGTGTGTTTAATCGCAGGGAAAAGGGAGAGTTAACGGAGAAACGGGCTTCGAACGGGGATGTTAATGGGGTGGTTTAAAATTAGATTTTAAGTGAGAAAATGTGTTTTTTGGGTCCTTCAAAAACCCCAGTGTCCAATACGAGATTCATTAAAAACCTTATTGTCATTTTTGGTCTTTAACTTATCAAAAAAAGTATGTAACTTTTAATATTATTTAGTCTCAACAACTTGTATACCACACAAGATAAAATCAAACAGTCACCTTTTTATCAAATATCTACCACCATTTTCTATTAATATAATTTCAGTAACTAAAAACTAATAGTTTCTAGAAAGCTTATAAAATATCTTGTTAGCTAGTTGTGCCAGACATATTGTATGATTATAACAATACGTTGAAAATACTATCAATTATGTTGAATTTGGCATTAAATTCTCTAAATAGAGATAAAAATAATAATATTGTATTATCAGTTTGAATGTTTGGTTCAACCAGTTTAACATAAATATTGTATTAAATTAAACGAATGATGCACTCGGTTACTCACCTTTTTACATTTCTTGGAAAAAATGTCAATGGTTCTCGTACTATCACGAAAGAATCAATTATGTCCTCATAATTTAAAAAATTAATGAATCAACTAACAGATTATCTACCATGTCAGCATGTCACCCGTTGACGTGGCGCGCACATGGCGATTCACACGTGTGCCTCGTCATCTATAAATGACTTTCTGGGCTTCCATGTCTACACCGCGTCTTCAAAGTCAATGCTGGTTGAGTTGTCACATGTGCGTCACGCCTAGCATGAAAATGTCCATTAGATCCTCTTTATCTATAAAAATCAATCGAATCCTCAAGAAAGAAATTTTTCAAAATTGGGAGATTGAGAGATTCACCTTGAAGACACCTTGATGGTGAAATGGTATTCCGAGACTCATGAAGTATTTGCGATTGTGTATACCCAAAAAAAATTATTTTTTAAAAGTGATTTTAGAGAAAATATCTAATAGTAAAATGTGATAGTGTTTTGAAAAAAATGTTTATGAAAAAGTAAAAGTTGTTACTGTTTGATAAAATAAATGTATTTTGTATATTAAAAAAAGTGAAAAGCAGTTTAAAACAACTTTCACTTGCTTCCAACCTTGAACTACTTGATTTAAGTAAAAATTGTCACTTAAAAAGCTCATTTTTTTATTAGGATGTTTTTACTTGGACTGTAATATGTCCCAGACCAGACCAGACCAGTCCAGACCAGACCAGACCAGTTCAGACCAGACCAGACCAGACTTGGATAGTTATAAAAATACAAAGAAACCAGACCTTACCAGACCAGACCAGACCAGACCAGTTCAGACCAGACCAGACCAGACCAGACCAGACCAGCAAATTACAGTCCAAGTAAAATCACTCTCAATATGTCATGCTAAAGAGATGGTACAACTGCCAAATCTATGGTTTTCAATATTTTTCTCGTTTGGCTTCAAATCCTCTTGACCCCCAAGTCCCAAGACTGCCAAATGGCCAGAGCCTCCGTAGGCTCAGCCGCTGTCCCTATCTCTTCCTCCCTCCGCCGTTTCTCCCTGAACCCATCATTCTTTGTTTCGAATGCCAGAACCTGCAGCACAGCTTCTACCGCGGCAACATCCACGACTCGCATCCTATCTGGCCATGTCATTCCTCACCCCTCAGTGGAAGTTATTGGCGGAGCTAGAGATGTTTTTCTTCCCGCATTGAAATCCCTTCACAATAACACCTATCGTCCATACCCTATAATTGGCTGGAATCGGCACGCGGAGACGATTTACGCCGCTTTTTTTCGGACCCTCCCAGATGTCAAGCTTCGGAGAGAGTGTTTGCGCACCAAAGACGATGGTTCTGTAGCACTCGACTGGGTTTCTGGAGACGATGGTCTGCCGCCGGACTGTCCCGTTCTCATCCTACTGGTATGTTATCCCATCCCAATCGCGCCACGGAGCTTGGTTGCATTAATTAAGGTATGATTAAGAATGTGCTAACAGGAGAATGTTGCAGCCAGGCTTGACTGGGGGAAGCGAGGACACTTATGTTAGGCATATGTTGGTGAGAGCTAGAAAAAAAGGCTGGCGAGTTGTGGTTTTCAACAGCAGAGGCTGTGGAAATAGTCCTGTGACCACTCCTCAGGTATCCATCAGATGTTTTGAACCATTTTGCTGATTCTTTTGTCTCATTCATTCATGAATGAATTTGGGTGAACCCGTAAATTAGGATTTCTATATGCAACTTCTTAATGTTATTGAGAGGATTATCAAGGTTTAGTGGGCTTTGATTCATGGATGTAAAGTGATAGGGGACTAATGAGATCATAAGTAAAACGAGATGCATAATGGTGATATTCTTGATTGGATGATGGAGAAAGTAGGTGTGCTATGATCAGGACATTATTTACTTGAAAACAAGTGAGCAACTCTCCCAAGTTCCGACCTAGCATTTTCAGTTCAACTACTTATCACCAACCTCTGAATTTCTAGTTCCTACGTTCTGAATTTAAATTCTTCATCTGATGATTCAATGCCCCACCGGTACAGATCCTGATTCTTTATCAGAATCTGTAGTAGAATGGCTAGTTCCAAGAAATCATGTGCAGATGAGCGAGCAGGAGCTGAAATTGTTTTTGGGCCTGAAGAGTGCCAACATCATTCTGTGGAGCTCCTTAATGAGTTTGGATTTCCCAAAGGCGTTCTCCCCCTGAAAAACCTTGAAGAATGTGGATATGTTCATGAAACTGGGTTTGTGTGGATGAAACAAAAGTTGCCATATGAACACTACTTCGGTGTAACCAAAACCCTTGTCAGCTATGCCATTGAGGTGACTGCATACATAGAGAAATCCAAGATGAGAAAAATGACCGGTGTTAAGAGTAAGCAACTCCTTCTTTGGGTACCAATTATTGAAATGAGCATTGAGGATCCAGCTCAAAATAAAATTTACTTCAAGACTCCAATGGGCATTGGAAGATCATTTCCTTTAACATATTTCATGACGAAAGAAGAAAAGAAGATTTATGTTGAGAACTTCCATGGATAGGGTTTATGCATATACTTCTCTATCAATAATATTGTTGTCAACTTGTCTCGCATATTGTCATTTCCTTGGTATTCTACAATGGATAGTTGATAGTTGATACCCTTGACTGTTTTTTCCCCACTCTATTTTATAAAGATGGATTTAATATTATCATCTATTTTTATCACCAAGACTATGTTATTATATATGAAACTCTTGAATTTCAAGCATATGATCTCTCCCTCTCTCCACTTCCTGTTTTACTTTGAAGTATTTTGTGAAGCTCTATATCGCTTTTGACGAAGGTTGCTAGGGTAGTTGGGTACTAAGCTACTAACTCACGCCCATTTTTATCTCATATGCACTACATTCATATACAATCCAGGCAATAATTGCACTTGGAAGTTGTAATATCTTTATGTTAACCTTAAAAATTAAAATATATTAATGTTTTTTGGGGAAGATGAAATGTCCAAAGCAGCTGATCCATATTTGGAATTTGCAGTTATATTCAGCTTCATTTCTTGGCGATATTCATGAAGTGGTAGTACATGTTGGCAATTGCTACCCAAAGGCCAACTTATATGCCGTGGGATGGTCTCTTGGAGCAAATATACTTGTTCGATACCTTGGCCAAGTATCTCTTTTTGGTTTTCCAGTTGACCTTGAATTGAAATCCATGTACTCCCATATTTTATCATCAATGTTTATATTTTACTCCCTTTGCCCCCTTTTTACATATATTTTTATTTTATTTTTCATACATCCCAAAATTGAAGGGGAGCCTTGGCGCACCGGTTACAGTGTTGTTGTGTGACCGAGTGGTCACGGTTCAAGTCTTGGGAGTGGCCTCTTGTCAAAATGACAAGGAAAGACTTGCTCCTCATACACCCTTGTGATGGGACCCTTCCCTGGACCCCTCACCTGTGGGGATGCCAATATGCACCGCGCAGCCCTTTTATTCATCCCAATATTATCTCCAATTTCCAATAAAGAAAGAATTTTGTGATTGACATTTTGATTATTTTCTTTCTCTGCTAAACAAAGATCAACCACACAGTTTCATTTCTCTGCTGATAAAATAGTGTATCGTTTCAGTTGTATCTTCTATTGCTGAAACATAATAAAACATAACTTGTCCGGAGCCTGGAGGGTTATTTTGTATCCTTACTATTTGGCCTTTGCATTTATGTTTGCTTCTATCATGCTCGATTCCAACTTTGGTGCCCAACAATTTTTTCCCGCTATAAATCATTTCAGCAATCTGATTCTTGTCCTCTGTGTGGTGCCGTGTCCTTGTGCAACCCATTCAACTTGCCTACTGCAGATGAAGATTTTCGTAAGGGCTTTAACATTGTTTATGACAAAGCACTAGCAAAAGCTCTCAGCAATATCTTCAAGAAGTAACTCAGAGTTCTGTAGTTCTTTTATTTTTGTTGAATGAATCAGAACCTATATGTTTTAATGGTAATTTATCCTTCCTAGGCATGCTCTTTTGTTTGAAGATATTGGGTGCGAATATAACATTCCATTAGCAGCTAATGCAAAATCTGTCAGAGAATTTGATGATGGCCTGACAAGAGGTCTGTTTAATTTTTTGATGGGCAAAAGGACTGTTTGGTTTCTGCTGGACTAAAAAACTTTCATGTGTGAAATGCTTATGGCTCTCTTTGATGCTTGCAGTTTCATTTGGGTTCAAGTCAGTGGATGAATATTATTCAAAGTCAAGTAGCTCAGATTCGATTAGATATGTCTGCACTCCTTTACTTTGCATCCAGGCATGAAGCTTTCGTTTTATTTGTTTCTTTGCTCAAGAAAAATTCAGGCTGCTATTTATAGTGTGTTACGGATGCATTTTTTAGGGTTTTAATTAATTAGGAGTCCAGTTTGATGTTATCTTTATATTATATTTATTTATTGTTTCCTATTAGTAATAGAAGTATTAGAAGTTACAGTTTTAGTTAGAGTAGAACTCTATCATGTAAAGGCAGACTGCCTATTTATACTTTTTTTTTGAAAATGCCTATTTATACTCTTTATTCAGCATTAATAAAATTATAAAACCATTGATCATTAGAAGAATTAATCCCAGAGAGAAGTCACGGACTTCCCCCTCCCCCTGCGCTCTTACTGCGCTCTTCCAGCCACGGGCAAGAGGAGGCGTAACCCTAGCAGGCAGGTTACCACCTCACCCGGGTATCCTGCTACCCCAAGTCGTCCCTGGACCCGTTCTCAGTCCCAGAACCCTAACATAGTGTTAAACAGAACACTGCAAACATGATTTTATGACTCAAACAAGTCAGTTGCATTTCTAAATGTGTTTTGCAGCCACCAACACACGTGTACCCAGAGGAAATAACCACTCTCTTTTTTCCATTGTTCAGTCATCAACATGTACCTAGAAAGAACACACTGCCCTCCATTTTCCTCCTTGAAAAATATATATACATTTGAGGAACCAGATTCTGAGCAGAGTAAAACTTTTATATGATATAATACTCAACCGTCCTGCTAATTATCTTATCTCTAGGGCTCATGATAGTGAATGCGATCTGTTTGATGTCTTAGACTAATACCAAATTGCGTTTGCAGGCTGCGAATGATCCAATTGCTCCATCAAGAGGGATACCACGTAAAGATATCGAGGTAATTGTTTCCCACTTTGACGTTCTCAGGAAAAAATTATGAGATTAAATCACATAACTGCAGTTATCATTTAGGTTTCCCGCTTGCATGAGAAATAACATGAGATGACGGCGTCCTAATATTGTTGCTCATCCGGAAAATTTAAGACACACGTTGCTACGATGACTCTAAATTTTATCAGTTTTGCACAGTGAAATTTCTCAATGCTCTAGAGCCTCATTTGGTGAGGGTAATTTTTTGTTGAAATGATTGAAATGGATGGATGGACAATTTTGATGAAATTTTAATGATACACACATGACATCGCAGAACACTCATCAATGATACACCCAATGTCATGCATAATCAAGAGGGTAAGGCTTGCAAGAAATGGCAATAAGGCCTCACACAGGAACTCTGGAAGGAGTTACCACATCACTTCAAAGATTTTCCCATGCATGAGTTTTTGTTAGTTATGTGGCAGTTCCTTTTATGATAGGAACCCGGGCCTAATAGACTAATAATAATAATAATAATAATAATAATAAGGGACCGGGCCTATTAGAGTATTAATAATAATAAGTGTATTAGTTAGTATAAATAGAAGATAGCAGGGATGAGTTGGGAGGCTTTTGGGACATTTGTCTAGGATTGGGAAGACTGAGAATAATAATCTCTTTCTTTGGGAGCTCCGGCTTTTGGGGGGGGGCTTCGGCCATCGTTTCTTGTTACTGTTCTTCATCAATAAAGCTTTTCTATATTGTTTCTTGATATTCTTTCCTGTAATTGTTCTGAATTCTTTGAGGTTCCTATCATTGGTATCAGAGCGAGACGATCACTGGACGAGAAAGAATTGAACGAAGATGGAAGGTCGTATAACGCAGATAGGAAGAAAACTGGAGGAGCGAATGACTGAAATCGAGCGGAAATTTGACAGATATCAGAAGGAATCAAATGCGAAGTTTGAGGAATTAAGAGCGAAGATGAAGGCTGGCTTTGTGGAGATTAAAAAACAGAAGAAAGATCGATCGAGAAATAGATCACATTCCTCATCTGCATCGCACCGCACTTCTCACCATCATCAGTCGCGAGAGACAACGAGTTCTGAAGAATCGGACAAGCAAGGGTTTAGCAGAAGACCGGGAGACCAATCGAGGAGTAGTAGGCATCATCCGCTATCGCATATGGAGTCGCAGACGAAATCGCGAACTTCCTCTCATAGTTCGAAATCGCGAACTTCTTCTCAGAATCCGTCACATAACCCTTCGCGTCGCTCATTGAGTACTGACAAGGTAAGATCGTCACCACCGTTCCCAAGATCGCAAGGGGAGTCTCGAACTGTTTCTTGTAACTTGCGGTCGCGAAAGGTTTCCAGCGGTTCGTATCAAGTCGCACCTTTGAGTTCGCAGGCAGATTCTTCCAGAACTATGGTTTTTACACGAGCAGAAGACTCCAGTTCGCAATTGCTATCTAAGTCACCAGAGTCGCAGAGGGAGTTGGTTAACCAAGAGCAAACGTACAAGGAAGATACAACCACCGATAGCGAAGAGGAAAGCAATGAGGAATCTTCAATTAATCTGGGACTTGAAGCTGAGCCAATTATTCGTCCCCTCACTTGTCATAACCCTTCCAGTTTGAATAACGTTAGCAAAGAGTGGAACTCTTTTAGAGAAAATGAACTTCCTTCATCTGACAGGCAAGGATGGAACCAAGGAAGTGTGGCTGATGCACTTGGTGAAAGAACTGATTTCGTATTCTCATCCGCAAGGTGTTGCTTGGTTTCTGTGCTGCTTCACACTAGCAAGGATTATGCAAAATTGAAGATAGTTTGGGTTTTTCGACTCTCTGTTTCAACAAATCGAGTAAAAATGGACTTTCCTTTGGAGGAACATGCAGTGGCAAAGATAATTTGGTGGAATATTCTTAAGGGAGACATCTGGCTAAAAGACTCTTCCAAATGTTTGGCTAAGGATGAGGGTGGTTGTCAGTCATGCGACTCATGCTGCCTAAAAGGCAAAAAAGAGATTGCAGAATTTCCCTCTGGCAGTTGTATATCCATAGTAGGAACAGCAGCAGACGCTCTAATTGCATGGAGTGAAGCAACTGAAACTCAAGGACTTGATTTATGTGCTGAAGCAAGAGCTACTAGCAAATGGAAGATTGAGCAGAAGGTGATGAATGAAGATCAGTACCAGCAGGAACAGAACCACCTGAATAGTATGGATGCTTTGAAGAGAGAGGATCTAGTGCTGTTTCTGCTAGAAGTGTGGATGAATATTCACGCATGGAAACTCCTTGACCAACCTACAGTCATGTATTGGGAAGGGAGAGGAGCAAGGAAGAAGAGGAAGAAGCAGAAGATTGTGGCTTTCTCCTATTACCCACCTTGAGGACAAGGTGGATGTTTTGGGGGGAAGTATTGATAGGAACCCGGGCCTAATAGACTAATAATAATAATAATAATAAGGGACCGGGCCTATTAGAGTATTAATAATAATAAGTGTATTAGTTAGTATAAATAGAAGATAGCAGGGAGGAGTTGGGAGGCTTTTGGGACATTTGTCTAGGATTGGGAAGACTGAGAATAATAATCTCTTTCTTTGGGAGCTTCGGCTTTTGGGGGGGCTTCAGCCATCGTTTCTTGTTACTGTTCTTCATCAATAAAGCTTTTCTATATTGTTTCTTGATATTCTTTCCTGTAATTGTTCTGAATTCTTTGAGGTTCCTATCATTTTATGTGGAACCATTACTACATTTTAGCATTTACCTTTCTATTTAAGTTGATTGAGATACCATCTCAAGGGATGTATTTAAGTATTCAAAATCTTCCCAAATGTCTTGCTTCTCTCCAATCACTTTCTGTAATTTCTGGAGTTCTCTTTGGCTTGCGAAGGGCATTTTCAATAAACCTCTGGGTTCGTACCACTTGTTCTTCCATTGAGAGTTAAAATTTTCAAACTTACTTGAGTTACTTCCACCACCCTATAACACTATCCACCACGACAGACAAATCCCATTACTCCCCTAGAACTCCATGGCAAACACCAACTAATTGAGAACCTTCACACTCAACTCAGTTACCAAATTTTGGCTGTGCAACCGTGACACCAGTAGTCTCGTCCACTACTGCTAGTTGAATGTCAACATCTGAAGCTGTATACTTTGCACCACTCAGCCACACCATCACTCCATGAAATTAGATCTGCCCAAATTAGTATCTATCCTCATCAGTTGCTATTAAAGTTTCTAGAAGATATGGGTCAGGTTTTGGGTCATTATTCTTCTGTATAAGGTATGAAGTTGTAAGTTGTTACTCAACAACTTCGACTACCACTGAGCTCGGAAGATCAGTGGTTGGGATAGTCTGAGTTACTTCTAATAGAATGCCCTCGAAGGGTATAGATGGGCAAAGAAAAACATAATGGTACAAGGTTTGCTTGGGTTTTTGGATAAGTGTTGGAAAGTTTCAGCTCACTTCAGTTGGCAGAGTATCCAACTCTCCAAGCTGATGCGGAAGGCTCTTTGATGGAATTTCAAGCCCGGTTTTAGAAACTGATGGTATCTAGTACTTCTTGCTCTTATTTTTCATAGGAATCAAACCCATTTCTTAGCCAAGGCTTTCGAGGCCAGATTTTAAGATATCATTCTGGACACCTGTGCTTTGTACAAGGGTGGAACCGTGGAACTGACACCTCCTGGTTTTCAATTGCCATGCAATCAGACTCATCTGAAGCCAGAGACTGCTCCAAATGCCCCCTTGCACAAGTGCTATTTCCTAGATGCCCTTGCAACCAGTGAGAGCCGCAGAAGTACAGGAATGGAGGTCAATATAAGACTCCATTTTTCTCTATACAGGGGATCTCCCTAGGTTATCACTGTAGAATAAAACTCAAGTTGCTTATTGGGATAGACAAAGGTGATGGGGAAACTAAAGAATCCGGCATAGCCAATTAAGATTTCAATGAAGTGAAAGAAATCGCAGGCGACATCTCTCACACTAGAAGGTGGTGGCTGCCACCACCCTCTGTAGATATGGGCCAAGATCAGCACTATACATAGTTTATTGACCCCGAAATGAAGGAAATATGATCTAAAAAATGAGGGTAGATAATGCCAATTCCCTTCATCTCGTTTAAATAATTAAATTTTGCGCTACTTTTTCGTTCACTGTTCAGTTAAATTTGAATGATCAGGTAAAATTAATTGCCACTAAATGGGCACCCAATGTTATGATTTGTGTTTCCCCAGGAAAATCCAAATTGTTTGCTGATAGTGACACCTCAAGGTGGGCATCTTGGATGGGTGGCTGGTTCGGAGGCCCCAAATGGAGCTCCATGGACGGATCCCATTGTGATGGACTTCCTACACCATCTTGAGCAAACTAAATCTGCTACTCCTTTGGAATCCTTGACCGACAGTATTGCAATAGAGGGTGCCAATATTTTAGTAGACGTTTAGAAACGTACTTGAATCTTATGATGATTGAAGATAAAGGCCCCTTTTTAGCAAATCATTACATTAATGTATTTAAAAACGCCTTCCTAAAATGGCAGAAGTTAAAGAAGTTTTTTTTAATAGCATAATTGGATTTTTTTTATAAATTCATTATAAAGTACTCTTATAGTTAAAATAATTTATTAAATAATTCAGCCAATTCAGCAATAATAGGTTTTACATAACATGAAGCAGGCTCTAATAGTAAACTAGATAAAGCTGATAACTCACCAATTGGGATATGTTAATATGTTATCTCAAGTACACATCATTTGGTCCAAATTATTGTAATTGGGATTCAGAAAAATGCATTAAAGCTAGAGAGATCTGGGATATCAATCCTGTCAATGGGTGAGCTTGTCAACAGTCAACACTTTTAAGTTATTTACCATGAAAATGAATGGAATAATTTTGCATAAGCCTTTTGAAATTAGAGACACCCTATAAACTAAAAATGCAATTAATGGTTCCTAAATACTTTCCCATCACCTAAAAACAGCATTCTGGCTTCTTGTGTGTCTTTCTTGACCATGAAATATTAATAATACCATGTTTTTGTTATACAGCAAAAATAAAAATGATTTTTTTTAATGAAAAACACCTATATTGATATTAAATTGATCATAGCCCTTACTCAGAATCTAAATCACTCTCCCATTCCCAACTTGACTTCAGATCCGAAGATTATCTTGCTCTTTGCTGAAACAAAAAACCGAGTGTTTCATGCTGAGTTGATCGTTCCGTTAACTATGCGAAATCTTTGAAAATAAATTCCACTCTGAAATCTTTAATGTTATAAAACATAAATTTTACTAAAGAGATACTCCCGCACACCCTCCTAGTTCTACATAACAAATTAACTTGAACAATAAAAAAGTATTAACTAAACCTAAAGTAAAATCACAAAAAGAGAAAAAAACACCCTGCTTAACCTCCAAACTCATGGTGCTCTAGCTCCTACTTACTTAATGGGCTTTCCCTTTTTAAACATTGCCAGTGTTAAGATTTCGTCAAATTCCCCCCTCTATATATCGTACCTTAGCATACTTTTTTGGATGTTAATTATAGTCCATATCATTTTCATCATTTTCATTTACCCTAGTGCCGCAAAGGCTCCCACCTACGGTGAGGTAAGGGGGGTCGGATGTACGCAGTCTTACCCTTGTACTAAAGCACAAAGAGACTGTTTCCGGATGATTTTATTATAGTCCATATCATTCATTATAATTCATTTCACTTATATATACACAGTATGCATGTGCCTCGTGTCTGTATCAAGACAAAGAATAGTTGACCTTTGGTCCTACCTCTTGTCCCTTAACCTTGTTTGTCTTGGCTTCCATGTAAATTAAGAGGCCGTTTGACAGCACTGTTTTTCGGCTTATCGGTCAACTTTTTCACCAAACACGTAACTTTTACTTTCGCGCGCTGAGTTGTGTAATAAGCAGAAAAGTAAGGTTGGAGTTACTTTTCTGGCTGTTTTGGCTGAAGTTACTGTACATGATCATTTTAGCTATTTTTACATATAATTTTTTTCTTTATTTTATTAATAAAATATATTTTAAAAATAATTTTTTCTTAAATCAGCAGAATCAACCAATGCAACCACTTCAGCCAGAACTTCAGAAATTTCATCAGAATCAGTCAAAAGAATCGATTTTCGTGCTATCAAACGGGCTCTAAGTAAACATGTAACCAATTCCTCTTATTTCCCCTATACCACCATATCAGACCATTTGGAGTGGTGCAAGAGTCCAAATGTAAAAAATGGACTCCGTCGATATGAAAACAGTGTTTTGACTCCTATTCTCTGCATTCCAGCACCGTCAATAAAATACACTCTGCACATTTTTTTACATATCAATTTAGTAAAACATTAATTAAATTATTATAAGTAATGTTTTCCTTTTAATTTTTTCTCTGATTACTCATAAAATAAAAAAGACACATTTCGATGTAAAAAAAAATAAATTTCATTATTTTTTTTTACGTTTTTTCCTGAGTGATTTTCAACACATTAGAGCATTGGATTCTCTTCTCAACTTTGTGTCTATCCATAACACATTGGATTTCCTTCTCAACTTGTTGTAATGGCTATTTTGGCTATTAAATTGCATTAAATGGCTATTTTGGGGCAATTTTTTGAGTGGGGTCCACTTCCGATTTGGGTCGGGTGAAATTGGTTTCGGATTGTCCTTGTTAAGGGCTACAATTCGATACGTGGTACACTCAAAACGGATAACGGGTGAATGAGATATCGATTTTCGAAGTTTACCCGTTGAAATGGAGCAGCAGCCGGCTGCTCCAGAAGCCCACTGCCGGCAGGACAGTCCGCAGCAGCCTGCTGCCGGCAGGACAGTCCGCAGCAGCCTGCTGCTGAGACGTCTTCCGCAGCCTGCTGCTGAGACGTCTTCCGAAACACACCCAACAATATATATATATATATATATATATATATATATAACTAATATATATATATATATATATATATAACTAATATATATATATATATATATATATATATACTAATATAACTAATATATATATACTAACATAACTAATATATATATATATATATAATATATACTAACATAACTAATATATATATATAATATACTAATAAAACTAATATATATTACGAATATATATATATTATATATACTAATATTATACTAATATTATACGAATATATATAAATGCTTTAATTACATAGTTATATATACACTAAATATTATACGAATATATACTAATATACTCTAAAATATGAATATAGTTATATATATTTCAAAAATATATTAGTATATACTTTATGAATTAAAATCAAATAATAGAGTAGTTTAGAAATTACCAAATCGTCTAGGTTTGACCCACTCCTCGGAGTTGCGTTCGCTTTCCGCACACAACCTTTCCATTGAGAACATTGATTATTGATGATCTTGAAACGAGACTCAATTGCATCTCGAGTTCGAGGAATTTGACTTTGTGCCGAAAATATCTCGTGAATTCGGCCCCAGAAAGTCTCCCCCGGTTGATTTATTCCAATGGCACCATCTTCAGATATGGTGACCCAAGCATTACATAGAACAACATCCTCTTTAGCATTCCAATTAACACCCCTTTTTGAGGAAGACATAACAAAATTGTAGTGAAAAAATATGATGAAGAATGAGAGATATGGAAGATGTGTGATTAAAATAAGAAGGAATGAGGTGTTTATATAGGATTTTCGAGCAAAATATCAATTAAAAATAATAGAAAAATAAAATAAATTATTTCAACCGTTGGATTTAAATTTCAGCCGTTGGATCATTTTTTTTCCCGTTCAAACAGTGTCAAGTTCATCACAACCGTTGGATCTACCAAATATTTTTTTATACAAACAATTGAGCCGTTGGTAGTGCATGGTGCCTCATGCTGACATCAACATGATGTCAGCGAGGCAAATAATTCCCCCTGGCAAGCCTTCTGCTCCCGTCTGCGCACAACAGGTATGCCCCCACTCCCCTTTTTCTTTTCTTTTCCATTTAATTTTTGGCTGTCTAAAATTCCTCCAAACTTAACCCCTTCCCTCCCCAAACCCATTTTTAATACCCTCCACACTCAACCAATGTAAGAAATTAGGAGTCTAAAAATGCCATTTTAACATTTTAGACTCCTAAGACCATTTGGAGTGGTGAGGTTTTAGGAGTCCAAAAAGTTAAAAATGGAACTTTTGGACTCCTAAATGTGTGTAGTGGAGGATTGAGGGAGGTCTTAAAAGTGGGTAAGGGGGTTGAGGGTCTTATTAATAGAGGGTGGATTGACTCTCAAATAATGATGTCATCCTTGTGTCATTAAACCTCAAATTTTTTAAAACTCTTATAACTTTTTTAATTGTATTCCAGATTTTTCAAAAAACATATCAAAATTCATGAATTTTCGTTATCTTTCATATGACACCAATATGTAATATATAAAATAAAATAAAAATCTCAAGTTTTAAATACGTTGAAGTTTTTCCGAGTCCAAAAAAAACATGAATCACAAATTTTTAATTCATGATGCATTCTCAAATAACTGAATATTTCATAATCGCAGTTTACTTGAACTAAGTTCATTTTTTTAACCAATAAACGTTAAAAAATTTACTGAATTTTTTTATATTTTTAAATCGAAATGTGTGTTTTTTATTTCATAATTATTTAGGGAAAATATTAAAAGTAAAACATTACTTATAATAATTTAATTAATGTTTTACTAAATTGATATGTAAAAAATATATGATGAGTGTATTTTATTGACGGCGCACGGATGCAGGAAAATATAGTATTGACGGAGTCTAAACACTATTTTCATATGGACGGAGTCCAAATTTAACAATTTAGACTTTTGACTACTACAAATGGTCTAATACCTCACCACTCCATTTGGTCTCATGGATAGATGGACTGAAGTTGGGTCGTACTACTACTCATTGAGTAATGGAAAATGGGAACTTATTCGTTGTACGAAACAATGATTGAATGAATAAAGAATCTTTGGAGGTGTTGGGTACTTTTTGGAGAAAAATTTAATTCACTTCGACAGGGAATTAGTTTCTTACATTCTCCATGAATAAGGTTTTGATCCTATCCGTTAAACTATCTTTGTTATAAGATAATTTTAAGAGCATTTCCAATGTCACAATGTGCACGATGCATGTTTACCTCATAAACTAGTCATTTTCCTTCATAATCGACATCTCTTTGTATTAATAATTTAGGTTTCGTTTGTTTTTCAGCGGGGGATTAGCAAACCGCTGCATTTTGCAGAGTTTTGCTGTTATAATTAATTAGCAGTTTGCCCCATCTGCTATTATCCAAACGGCACCTTAATTTAGTTCAATATATACAAGTGGATCGGAGGACCTAATTTGTTATCTCGTCCAAATCACTAATATGGCAAAGTTATAATCATGATACGAAGGAAATATAAAATAATGCTTTTAAGTGTTATTATTATTGTTTTAAAAAGGATATTACCGTGATAATCGGATTATTATTATTATTTTATGAATCATACTTATATTTTCCTTTATATTAAAAGGTAAATATATTTAATCTGTCGTTTC